GTTTGGATACACACATACCTTCACCTGGACTGAAGAAAATCTCTCATTCTTCTGGTGAGCAGTCTTTGTCTTCTCACTGTCTCCACTTTCGCTGCTGCTGTACTCGTCACTTTGATCATTGCAGGAGAGAACCTCCGCAGGCTGTTCATCAGACTTACCCTCTGGACGTTCTGCACTTTCCCCCGGCACTGAGCTTTGCACACAAGGAAGTACAAACTGCAAATCTAATGGATTAAGCAATGTCTGTGTTTCATACAAATTCAGAGGCAGTGTCCCAGCTCTGTCCATTGTGTTGTCTTGTCGTACACTTCGCTGCCTTACACACTTGTCGTATTGTTTTGCCCACACTCTAATCTCTGCTTCATCATTTCTGGACAATCTTTCTCCGACCGGTTTGGGAATTTCAGCAAGGACTAACTGGCCAGTAGCGGAAGGTTCAACAGCGTAGTATGAGTTGGGATGCGTGTAATAATGTGCAGACCATGGTGTCACTCTCTTTACTCCTTCTTCAACTGATGAACTAAAAATCTGTGCGTATTCGTAGAGAGTAAATGTTTCCTTCTTAAAATGAGTGACTTCATATTGGTTCTCAACATTTAACGCCAGGAGTGATTCTAATTCAAGTTCACCTAGAAACCTTGAGAAGACAGATCTTTGATATTGTGCTCTACCTTGCGAAGCGATTGTGCCATCAGTTCCAATGACTTCAAACACTTGTTTGATAAAGTACCCTATGGCACATCGGTGGTTTCTTTTGCCAAGGACTGTAGCTCTCTTGCCTTCCCTGAGCAATACTTCACGTACTCCAGCACCTCATCCACCATAACAATTGCTTCATTAACCGACTTAAGTGGTTCTCTAACTGTGCGTTTTTGGAATGAATGTTAAAAGCCTTCACCAGGACTTATAACTTTCCAAGGAACTCTGCAATCCCTGTCAAAGGTCTGTTGATTAGTTTGACCGCGCCAGAACCATAGTGTGTAACGTAAATGTTACGATCAAGTTCACGCAGATTCCAATTGGTTGACACAGTTTCGATTGTGATTATGAACCTTCACTGTCACCTTTACTGTATCCTGCAATCACAACAACAGCCCCAGATTCAAAGAGCTTAACAGAGTGCTCTTCGCAGAACAAAATATCTTTACCAGGCCAAGCAACATGCACTGCTCGTGATGATATGGGTAGGCCATCACTCCCTCTAACGATTCTTGTTACACCCTGTAATGGAACAAAGACTTGAAGAACACCTTCCGCACAAACAGCAAGTTCATCCCCAGAGAGTGCCGAAGAACTAACATTTGTCTAACTGTCTGCATAGCTGCACATGACATTCACTACTCCAAGGACACCTACTCCGTCAAAATCAGTTGTGATCGAATGAATACTCTTTGTAGGATGCACCAATTAACATGTCACCATTTCCAAGACATAAGTTTACAATTTTCTGTGTGTCTTACAGCATTTTTTGAGTTAATATACTTGATTTCGATTATCATAGTCTGCGAATTGGACGCCATTTTTATCTCTCCCGCCACGTGCAAACATGCGCATATCATTCCATCAACAACAAAGCGCTGACCAGGAAAACTGACAGAACTTAACAATAAAACCGTGTGGAGCCCGGTAGATAAAACGTGGAAACGAAAAATGTGATGATTCTCTGTCTACTGAGGTCTAATGATGCAGAATTTTAATTCTTTATTCAAAAGAATAGGCTCAGTTAAGCAGTGGTGTCAAAAATAGGGTCAGAGAGCGCTAAAAATTGAAATTGTTCATCTCATTCCCAGTGGTTGAATCCCAGACTCAGTGCAGTAAATCCCATTTTCCCAGCCCAAAAAAGGGCAAATCCCAGTTCCCATTTTACCCCTTCACGCCCCTCGATCGAATATTCCTTGATGACCTTTGTAATTTACAATGTACAAAAACGTTCAGGTTTCACTTCGAAAACTTAGTGTGTAAGCTTAAATTTGGAAGGTATAAACCTGACGCTACGAACAATGAACATAAACACGAATTAAGTACGGTAGCGCGTGGACAAAAAAATTCAAGTAAGCTTTATATCTCTCTCACATCATCTGCAATGTCACTGAGATAACAATAGAAACAGAGATATCAGATTACTCACCCCTTAAATCTTTTCAAGTTTTCTTGTTGTCTCGAGTCACATTCATGGCGTTTAACTTCTTTGACTAGGGTATGGCAAGCCGTTTGTAGCAAAATTAAATCCTTGCAATATATGTTTAATCCTTTAAATAACGGTTTTATTTAAAGATAGAAAAAGGCATTCAATCCAATGGTAAATAAAATTTTTGGTTCAATTCAGTCTTTTAATTTTCACGATTCAATCCAATACCTGGAATATTGATTCAATCCAATACCAAAAATATTGATTCAATCCAATACCTAAAATATTGATTCAATCCAATACCTGGAATATTGATTCAATCCAATACCTAAAATATTGATTCAATCCAATACC